TTTTTTTTCTCCCCCATCGCTGCGGGATGGGATAAAAAATTGTGTTTTGCGTGATGGACGAAGATGAATGAGATAGATTAATTTTATTTCACTTAATAAAATCTTGGGAAGTTTTTGGCAAACGGTATATTTTCATGTTCGGAAATAAAAAAATTGTTGAATTCCCGCGGTTTTAAATGCATCTTTAATTGCAAAAATAGTCGATCATTTTTTGAAAGTGCGAAGAGTCGAATACCATGAGACGGTTAATTCCAGAAGAATTATTCAGTTGAATTAAATATGTGAGTTTATTATTCAAAATTTAACTTCATTTAAAATTTATGATTATGCCGCCGTCTGGTTAGCGATTATTGCTATCGCCTTCATCTTCGAACTCGGTCAAACGGACATCCAAACAAATTTTTGAACCCCATCATTCAATCAATTCAGAGCATTTTTTGAATTATCGTGGGACCTTTTTCGAAAAACAATCGAAAATTAAAAAGACTAATCGATGAATTAAATTTTAATTAATGGCGATCGATAGGGCTCAACAATACTTATATTAAAAAAAAAAGATTCAGTTCCATTGATTCATTAACGAACAATTGAAGAAAAAATTTATTACATACATTTTTGGATCATACTGGGTCGACGTGGCAAAAAAAATTCAAAACTTAAATTTGGAGCATTACAAAGCTTCCATTCGAAACAAAAAAAAATTGTCAGAGTAATTGATAACGGTGAACACGATAACATAGAGCATTTTATATACGACTCAACTCTGTGCTAAAAATTTGGACCGTAAATGAACAAGTTGACACCAAAAATTGCTGCATCATGAAGAGAAAAAAAATTTACATAAAAAAAACAAATATCCCTGTCCTTGAAGTTTCATGACGTGTGATAAAAAAAATTATTTGTACCTATTGCGTTCTTGTAAATCGATTAATCGATACTCGTCTCACTCCGACATCACCAGCCACTGACATTTCCAGAGTTTTTTTGCATAATTCATTGTGTCCTCTGGCTCGCCGGCTCCTCTTTTGTCCCATCTTTTTTTTCTGTCTCCTGTGTTTATCTATTTTTTTCGAATAACCTCACGATAATGTTCAACATAAAAATGAAATAACAACTACAAGTGTAGGTCGTGGTTCCACTTGAATATTCGTGCTCCATGTGAAAACAAAATTGATAGTTTAAATTTTCAAATTCGTTTAATAATTCAAACTAATAAGAGCTTTTCAATGTAGATATAAATTAGTTGAAGAGAAATCTTATTCAGTTTAACAGAAGGAAATGATGTGCAAAGTAGCCATTCGGAAGAATATTGCTAATTTATTAGCAAAAATAACTACTATGCACAATACAATAGCAATTTCCCACTTTTTTTCTGTTTCGGTAATATTTATGACGCCAATATTTTTTACTATCGTCATCAGCGACAGGCATATTTATCAATCATAATTACCGTTAAATTGTGAAGTTGCCCATTTTTAACGTAAATCTTGAACATTTTAAATATTAAATTAACCATCAATTTGTACATCCAAATTTTAAAATATTCTATTAACCAATAATTTAGGTAGGAACATTGACGATTATTTCGATAATCGAAAATCAAGTACCTAAAATTTAGAATTAACTTGTTAACTAAAAATTACATTTCAATATTATCAAATATTTTATTCAACATTAATCGGAAAATTTAGTTATTAAATTGCATAATTTTTTAAATTCGTTGAATACACTTAAACTTTGGGCAATATAAGGAGATAATCCTTCTTAATATTGTCAAAATCTAATATTATCGACCATCCCTGATCGTCACCCATTTTTTCCGCCAAATTATGAAGTTGCCAATTTTTAATATAAATCGTTAAAATTTTCAATATTAAATTAACCAATAATTTAGGTAGGAACATTGACGATTATTGCGATAATCGAAAATCAAGTACCTAAAATTTAGAATTAACTTGTTAACTAAAAATTACATTTCAATATTATCAAATATTTTATTCAACAATAATCGGAAAATTTAGTTATTAAATTGTGTAATATTTTAAATTTGTTAAATATAGTTGAACTTTGAACAGTATAAGGAGACAATCCTTAATATTATCAAAATCTAATATTATTGGTCATCCCTGATCGTCACCCTTTTTTCGAAATTTTAATAATTTCGATAACTACTTCGATGATTTTCATGAAAATAAATTTTGCCGAAGCGCTTGAATACCCTCAAAGAGCTGATGATAATGATGATGACTTCTCATGACCATATCGCCTCGAGGTAATACCGCAGGATGAATAAGAGACGGTGTAAATTCCAACTGAACCACTGGAACGAGAGACGAAAGTACGTTGTATGCAAAGTCCAAGAAAACATGCATCAAAAATGGTGGGAGGGGTATGGGGGGAGATCGCCGAGGAAACCAAAGCACTTGAAGACGTTGAAGACAAGACGCGTTAAAATACACATCACGAAAGCCGTGCGAGGCACCTCATAGACTCGGTACAACACACTAACGCACGAGTGTAACTGTTCTACGTGCATGCAAATTGTAATCACTGGGTTCAAGCACACTGGAAAGATCAATTAGATATACTGAAAGAGTGTTCTCTCGACTCCTTGCGTTATCTCGAATGATTTTATTCATGCATTCGAATTATGATATTTATTTAATTATTTGTTGATTTTGTTGATTGAAATGTTGTTTTTTTTTCAGACGCTGAATGTAGACTAGAGTCGACACATATCGAGAGTCGACTTTAGTCTACAATTCCCCGCAAATTTATCACCTCCCTTTATCGATGATTTTTGAGTGCACAAAATTACCGAAGAAGTCAAGTAATCGATCAACATTAAGGTGTTTCGGCTGAAAAGTCAAAATAATGAAAAAGAATGGGAAAATTCACGCGAGGAAATTCTGAGTATGCTGCATCGTTGATAATTTTTGCAAATTTTTTTCAGATCTCAGTCTCAAGGAAAAAAATAATGAAGTTTGGATGTTTTTGTAACCGCTCCAGCTATAACCTCTGAGGTTATCCCACTCTCAATTACGGAAATTTCCATGGCACCCAAAAAAATAATGAACTATTGAGGAAAAACTAGTGGGTGATAAATCAAATCTTTCTTGAGAACCCGTACAAGTTTCAGATTTTTTCCGATTTCATAAGAAAGTTATTTGAACAAATCTGTAGTGAATTGGTAAACTAGGATAACTGCATTTTGCTTAGTCGCAATCATCGATGAATATCTTGAAAACGAAGACAGATACCGAAATTTTCATGAAAATCGTTTTTATAGAGCCAAATGTCAGCTCTAAAAAAGCTCTTCACAAAAATTTCTCTAACTATATCCATTTCCAAGATATTCATCAATAATTGACCCTAAGCGGAAATCACTTATCCTGGTTTACCAATTCATGACAGAAATGATTCGGAAAATTATGAGTTTCGGGGCAATTACGCCCTCACGCGCAGGCGCGTGATTCGAGTGTCAGTGAGGATTATGGGAAAGGTATGGGTTGGACCATGGACCTGAGAGAGAGAAAACAGTCGACAGGTTTACCAACTCGAGACGCATTTTAATATTATTTCAATAATTAGAGTAACATCCAATAAAAATTATTTGACACCCGCAGGTGATGAGAAAAAATCGATCAATCTGATAAATAAAATCAATATTCAAAAAATGTTCAAATGCACACTTAAATAGTTACTTGAAAATTGAAAAATTTCGTGCTCAGCGATTGAATCAGGGCTCGAGAACAACAAGACTCCTTTTCCGTTTCACCCCCCTATGATGAGCAGCAAAAGTATCTTATATAAAATGTCGTAATGGTGATGAGCCTATTCCCGGAATTCTACCCCGAAGGTATCTTACATAACGAGTCGATCCCAAATTGTCGATTCACCTTTCATTTTTCATTTTAATCATTGAATAAATCGTCACCAAATCGTTGAAATCAATCACACGTATCGATTAATCGCCACCTATTTCTCAATTTTCCCCCAGCCAACGTGATTTCGTCATCAAGAATTGACTGATGATTGATCATTCACGGGAGCAGGCAACAATTTACGCGATAAATTAAAAATGATAAATAATCATGATGGTAATAATAGAAAAATCAAGTGGCGGGGGTAAAAAAAATAGCAGTCTTCTGATTGCTCATTAGCATTGGGACGATCTAGTTCTATCCTTCGTTAAGTTTTATGCTGATCGAGCGTGAGTGTTGGTCCATTGGGGAGCCATTAATGACATAGCGAGAATTACATTGCGCATGTTATGTGTCCTTGCAACCCAAAGGATCCTTGCCCTTTGCACGCCATACACATACGTGCTATTGCGTCAATCATAAAATCGAAGAGTGCGTTCCGAGTTATTGCTCACAACAACAAACTCGGGGGTTCAGGTCTAATTCAACCTTTTATTTCGTGTTATTTTTCGTCATAACTTGTTATGTATCGATTTTAGGAAAAAAATGATGAGACACAAAATGTAGAGCGGAAAATTTCCCACAAAAAAGGTTCAATAAAATTTTTAGGTAATTGCGATCATTACCGAGATAATTACAATTATGATAATTGCCCCGTATGAAAGGTACAAAATTATCTCAATGTGGAAAAAAATTTGGGTTTTAGACTCAGCAATTTTCGAAGGGATTTTTCTCAATTTAAAATTGATAATTAATATACAATTTTTAATCATAAAATCAGAGAGTACGTTCAGGTCAAATTCGATTTTTTTTTATTTCCTTAACGAGTGAGATTTGAATTTAAACAAAATGCACTTCTATTTTTCTCCATAACTTCTTAAGGATCGATTTTAGGAAGAAAGTTGATAAAGCACAAAATGTAGAGCGGAAAATTTTCCACAAAAAAGAATTAACAAGACTTTAATGTAATCATGATAATTGCGGAGATAATGGCAATTATGAGAGTTCTCAGAAATTTTCGAAGGTATTTTTCACAATTAAAAATTAAAAATAAATATATAATTTTTATAATCATAGGTGACGAACAATATCGTGGCACAGGGGGTGGTAGTAGCAGTGGTAGTCCACCGGCAAGTCTTCTAGTTGTACCCCAGCCCCTGACAGTGAAGCCCTCGCATCCGTCGCATCTAAATCCCCATCTGGGCGGTCCACACTCGCATCCACCGAGGAAATATCAATGCAAGATGTGTCCACAAGTGAGTAAAAATATCAAAGTCACCTTCCAATAAAAAATCTTCTACATATCATACATATGTGTGATAGCTAAGCTGTGCAGGAAATATGAGCGGGAGAAATATAGTTAACAAATTCGAACATTCAAATTTAAAAAAAAGTTGAACCCTTGGATATAACAAAAATGCTTGTGGAATTATTATGACCAATAAATTCACATTGCACATTGAAAAAAATAGAAGAATAACGTTCTAAAAGACAAAAACGAGACAAAAAATTGTGAATTTCGACAGTGGACAGTTTATTCCGAAGATTTTTATATTCACACTTGAAAAATGGAATTTTCACTGTTACATGCACATAATTTCTTAAACCTTGAAACGTGAATTTTTCATCGTGCAAATTATTAAAGATCATTTTTCAAATTTTTTCTCAAATCGAATTATAGTAAAGGCGGATATTAACTCCTTTTTAAGAAACAAATGAATACCTAATGATAAAAAATCAGTAGCGAAGTGGTCAAACGGTTTAAGTCGATTTTGGCTATTGGCCAGTTTTCAATGAATATATCGAAATCTAAGGGAGATATCAAAATTTTTCTCATAACCTTTTTAGTTGCACTCAACTCGCTCTACAAAAAAGGTTATTATGAAAATGTCGCCATCTCCCTTAAATTCGGAAATAAATTGACTTAAACCGTTTGACCACTTTGCTACTGAAATAATTTCTGTAAATCACCAGCCAATCACGCGCGCGCGAAGCGAAATTCCCCGAGAAATTCCCTCGCAACCCTTTACGGTATTCCCCAAGTCATATTTTTCCCAAAAATATCATAAAACATCTGAAAAATGTCTCCAGGCCTTTGACAAAACCACTGTTGGGGTTTTCACTGTTGTAAAAGATGAACCCTAGGCTATTTAAGGCCGGCAGAACCCAACGGGCGAAGGGGAATTGAAGAGGTGGTAAAACCTCCCCCACTCGGGGCTACCCACTCGCCCGCCGTAGGAGACAATTTCTCGTCTCCAGGTAATAGAAAAAAAAAGGCAACCCTTTTTTTTTCCACGGAGAAAATAAAATTTGTCCACTTATTTCTCAACATGAGGGGCTAGTTTTATGATGGGGGACGCCTTCGAAATTACTATTGCTGAGTGTCTGAGGCCTTAATCCGGGCTGGAGGGGTAACCCGTTGGAGGATAAGCAGGGATATATGATAATAAAATGGTTCCGGACCCTTCGGAGAGTATCTTTACCATTTTTATTTAGTTGAAAAATAGATTTTCAAATTCCCGAATTTTTCCCGACGCTAGTGCACTGATAGAACGAATTAGTTATTGTTAACGAATGGATTTTGGTTGAAGGTTAGGGTCTGTTCGGTCTCACCAAATGTTCATTCGTTAATAGTTAACGAATCTCGTTTGGAATAAATGAATCATTCTATCAGTGTGGAGAGCCAGGGAAATTAGAAATTTGATTCACCGAATCCGCATACAGACGCCCATTTTGCCCCACAATTTTGCGAGATATGGCAGGAAAAATTCTCTCCCATTCAAAATATAATTTTTCACTGTAACTCGTGAAATAGTGGGGCAAAACGGGTCGCATATTTAGCCCCATAGTTCTTAATGTTAAATCAGTGCAACCGTAGAGAAAATAAGAAAAACAAAAATTCTTCACTCCCGTTCAGAAATGCATGAAAAAAATTAATGAAAGAAGAGAGAGATTCAAGTCCAGAAGGCAAGTGTACCGTGACGACACAGCATCCTGTCCCACCTCTCTCTGTCCTTCCCACCCATCGACTTCTTTCACCTTCAGCACAAACTCGATTCACTGTCCTTATTCACCTCCACTCAAACAACAACGAAGAAACAAAAAAAAAAAGTAAATAAAAAAAATAAAACAACAACAACAACACCTCCATTCAAGTTTGCCTTCATCTTTTGCGCTTCTGGTCTTCCGCTCATCTTCTTGTACTGCACATATACAACCCAAAACCGATATGCCTCTCCACCTCGTCCTCATTATCGTCATCATTCTGAATCACTTCCAATCTCAGCCCTCCGAGTGTTTTCCATTTTTTTCTCCATTTCTGCCCCTTCCCCCGTATTCGAGATCATGGAAGGAAAACCGCAACGACCTTAACCTCACACACATCTCAAATAATCGATAAAAAAAATATGATAATGATCGATCCCGAGATTTATTTTACCATCAACCGACAAAAAACAAATGAATAACTGGATAAAAAAATATTATTCTTTCCTATTTTTCAAAGAGACATCTGTAGACATTTTGATATTTGTCATAACTTGCGCAATGAAGGGACAAAGCGAACAAAAAACAAAACGGAAAAATCTGATTTTCCTGATGAAAAAAAAAATAGAAATGGAAATATATTATTTTTACCCAAATAAATAATTACGCAATTCACACTTATAATTCGATTTCCCCGGTGAAAATCCCATGTATTATATAAAAAAGATTCCCATAAGAAATTCGGCAGTCTTGATAGCCCCTGAATAGGGTTCCTCTCGTTCTTTTTATCCTCCTCTCCTTTTTGATTTTTTTTTCCCTTTGGGACTATTGGGTTAGGTTGGGTAAGGTCGGATCAGGTGCCTGCTGATGTGTGCAAAAGAATGAAGAATAAGTATAAGAAGTATACGAAAGAAGGTGACTCTCTCTCTTAAACATGTAGGAGGGCGGGTGGGGGAGACACCCCATGAGGTATGGTCGACAGCCTCCCACGCCAAACAAAAGTCCTTAAGCCTTAGAATACTTGAACATGATACCCCATTTACCGAGTCTATGTACTGAAAAATTTCATCCTATATCCATACAATGGAGGGGCCCTACAAAAATGCCTGGAGTTATGTAACCGTCGGCTGTCCATTGGTCCTCGCTGGGTCACATGGAGATTTGACGATTTTTATTGAATTGAATTAACAATTGAAAGGCCCAAACTGAGTCCCAATATTACGGAAAAATGGGCCCATATTCTGGAGCATTATAAGAAAACATATTGTACATTTTTATGACCTTTAAAATGACGCTAGATTCATCAAAATCTAACCAACAATATCCGACTTCTCCCCCAAACGTCAAAACAATCGAATTCCATTACCCCCTCCCCTTTCCATAGGTCCCAAAAGTATTAATCTATCCACCTGAAGCTAGACAATTCGTTGATGATGATGAACTTCCCTCCCCAGTAACGGCTCCTCACCTTTCTCTTCAATGATGATGCGTGACAATTCGAATTTTGTCCGCAATTACCTTTTCGTTGGCGTCACGTGATGATGAGAGGAAGTTGGGCCCCGAAAAATCACTCTCCCAGCTTGGAGTCAACGTCCATTCAAGCCTTTTTCTTCATCATCATCTCCACCTACCAAATCTCATTCTTTTTTGTTTCATTCCTCTTTCATCTTGAGGCCCAAAAGCCGACCCCCAACTTTTGGGCCTTATTACGTCTAGGTCCCAGCTGAGAGCGTAGTAAATGCTACCGGTTAATAGAGAAGCCACTTTCAACATTTTTTACCTCTCAACTTTTTACAGTATAGTTTCATTCGGGGGCCCATTTTTTACCACTCAATGGGGCATCAAGATGCACTATAGGTGTCGCGTGGCTATTTTTTATTTTCCAAATTGTCTATGTAGTTTTTGTGTCCTTGGGGGATCAGCAGGCCGTGATGATGCGTTGAGGTTCAGTAGCCGACGATGGGTAGGAAAAAAGTACAAGCAGAGGGAGAAAGACACTCATGTCGTAAATCTGCAAGGGGCCTTGCGGGGCCTCATCACCGAGCGCCATCTTGGGGGCCCCCACTTCCTCCCTCGTTCTCCTCTCTCTCTCAGTTTTTATTTATTATTATCATTTTTTGTTTCAATTTTCATTTTTTTTTGTGTGAGCCGCTGTCTTATGCCTGCCACAAACAAAAATCAGGCCTCACGGGTGGCGTGAGTGGGGGGGAATGGGCCCCCGGGACGGTAGCTAACCTTCTACCCGCGTACACTCGCTGGAAATTGAGTAGCTATAAAATTAATTATCCGACGTGCTTTATCGCCCAGAGACGCACTCCAGTTTGTTGAGTTATGGCCAACTGTTTTTCAACTTTTTTTACAGCTACTGATTTCTTTCGGGAATTTTTTCTACGAAGGCAAATAATACGTGAGGAATTAATTTAAATTGCGCTTTTCAGCGTTTGGTGTTCGAGTCACTGGCGTTTTGACGCATGGACGGAAGACCGTTAAGATTTGCGGCTGAATGTAACTTTCTTTTTTTTTTGACTAGGATTATTATTTATGGATGAATTATAGAGTTTTAAATGATGAGGCCCAAATATTTTTGGGGCCGGGGAAGAATGGGCTGTGTCATTAGGTTAATTGTGGATTTTGCGAAGGAAATATATCTCCCATCTTACCTGAAATGAATTTCAACCGCAAACAGATTTAGTGCAGTTAGTAAATAATGATAGTTTGGGACTCACCAGGCCCAAATTTCAATCACATGAGAACAAGTGTAAATTGTACTTGAACAAACTCCTAACTTCGACCTAATGAAATTTCAATAACAAATGTAATTTTTTTGGGACCATGGGACCCAAAATTCTAATTGTCGAAATCCCAAAGGAATTTAATTTTTCTTTTATGTTAAAATGTGTGGCTGAATGTAACTTTCTTCTTTTTTGCTAGGATTATTATTTATGGGTGAATTATAGTGTTTTAAATGATGAGGCCCAAATAATTTTGGGCCTAGGAGGAATGGGTCGTGTCATTAGGTTAATCGTGGGTGTTGCGGGGTAAATATATCTTCTATATTACCTGAACTGTATTTTAATCTCAACCAGATTTAGTGGACTTAGCAAATAACGATAGTTTGGGGCCCACCAGGCCCAAAATTTCAATTACGTGAGAATACTTTTAAATTCTACTTGTACAAACTCCCAACTTCAACCTAATGAAATTTCATTAATAAAGCGAAGTTTTTTTTGAGGACTCGTAAGGCCCAAAACTATAATTTTGCAAGGCTCAA